CAGTTCCCGTTGTATACACTCAGTGGATGTAGGATCCAACAAAGTAATGCATTTAGAGCATATGCATACTTCCCATAATCACGGCGACACTGCCGAATATGTCAAAATCGTAGAGTAATCAAACCCTACACAAGATGTAATTAGCCAAATCCGAACAGCAAGCAAGTTGTAGTACATATTTGAATATTCATCAGTATGTCGATCATGATGACAAATCCAAATCACTACCTATGCAACGCCAATAAACCTGAATATCTATGAAATAGCGAAAATATGCTGACAGCTGAATTTCAGACCCCACTGACTCATTCGGTGGTAAAATTCTGCTCCTGCATGCCTCATTCGACATTTTTTGTATGAATTGGTTCGCAGTTACTCAGGATCCAGACCGAAAAGAATCAAAAATCCACCGGTTGCTGAATCACCAATACTTCTCTGTATATTTAACTGGATTCTAACTGCAGTGGTGAGCCCCTAACATATTATATTGCTTAAAACATTGTTTACGGTAAACTAACTAACGTTTTATAAGCCATTTTATACTTTTGTGAGTAGCCCACTATTTCAACCAAATGTAACCCAGCACTCAGTTGTTACGCGCATTTTTGACAAATTCAAACAATAACGGTGCCTAGGATTATATCATATAATTTATTTTAACTTATGCAGAGTGTGCTTACTGTCATTATTCCATTATCTTCCCTTATATATATATCTTGTGTCAGTGAAAAATTTTAAACATGCTTACTCCATGTGTACATTATGATCATATTTATAATACCTGTCAACTGCAGTCCCTCATGTGCATAAATTAAGACTATATTATTATAAGATGCATTTTATTGTGTTATGAGGGAAATAGCTTCAAGCTTTATCTTTTTTCCCAAGTATCTGTATTCCATCCTAAAAATACTTGTTTTTTTGTTAATGCGAAGTCAATATCTCTATATTTCTTGATGTGATCCATTACATCACTAGTTATCAAATTTTTCCCACAAACTAAAGACAGAATGACAGCAACCATGTAATTTAACCGTAAATCATGTAATTTAAATATGTAATTTAAACAATACTTATCCATGCCTATACAACTGGTGTGTCCTTTATAGGTAGGAATAAATATTACCTTATTATATTATGATTACTAACTATGTTTACTAATAGTATGTGAAATTTATCGAAATGATGATGCCTGTAAACTGGCGTCCCTCAAGTAGAAAAATGAGAATATATTATTACTGTATGCCCGGCTACTTCATCAACAACGCAGCATTTTCAAGGGAATTTTCACCTTTCTATATCCAGAACATGGATCATTTGCACGATTCTATCATTGCGCAAACTGTTACATACTGCCTAAATATGACTGAGCGAAATCTCAACGTTGGAAGTCTCATATACCTCGTCATTTCAGATTTGAACCTACACTTTTTCTAGCTTTGTAGTAATTATACTAGCCACTAAGAAGATATATTGGAGTTTCAAGCTAGTCGCAGTATTACATTTTGAAATTTTTGTCCGAAGCTTGAAAACGGAACCTTCAGCATTTCGGTTAGTAGCACGAAGAGGGATGGTAGACTGGTCACATTTTCATGTTCGAAAGGAACTAGCTCTCAGGAGTCATGGCAGTCTGTCATGTAATGAAGGAACGGGGATTATTCCGGAGGCTGTGGAACTATTACCATCTTTCTAATTATTTGTGACAGGCCACAGAATTGCATTTTTTCTCTGGCGGCAGTTTTCGTTTTGCAGTAATATGATCCAATGTCGTTTACATAAAATATCTCTCTGTTGCTGCTTAAAGTGGAGGTACTCAAGCCTCCTGAGTGAAAGTTGGTAATGCCATGCTCATGACCCTCTAGATCAACTATTACTAACACGGGTTTTTAAATCTTCCTGGCGAGTGTCATGGTTTTGGATTTTCAGTCAAATGGCCACAGAAAATGGCATCGGGTAAACACATTTAGTTGCAGCGAAGTAATTTCTTTTCAAAAAGTCATCAGCTAGTCTGTGAATACATTAACATGTAGGAGATTGGTCTGGATGCTCTACAACTATGTTTGATCAGAGGTCTAAACACAACAAGGAAAAAGGAGAAATAATGTTCAACTCGCAAATTAGTCCGTCTTTTGCAGACCTAGTCTTAATCCCACAAGATCTTCAATTTCTGCAACATTCGAGAAGCCTCCCACTAGCTCTTGGTCCTGTAGAGGATGACATTTCTATCTCGTCTGCTCATTGAAGAAACACGGGTGTAGAAAATTCCAGATATTTAAACATAAAGAAGGCTCTTGCAAGCGTGAAATTGTCAGTACTCATTCAGATATACTCAGTAATAGACCGACGTCCGTTTCCAGAAAAGAACATCAAGACGGTTTTCAACGTCTCTAATAAGCGGTTTTGGATGTACACCGAAGTCTCTTAACAGGGTTATTCAGCTCAGCTTGACAATGCCTCATATTAAACTGTAGTGGTGTGACACAGACAGAGTTTACAATGGAATACTATTCTCACACATTCCCACAGTTCAATACGGCGTTAGCAACAGAATACCATGTACTCAAACATCCTATTTCACATCGTTTAACGTAAACGAAAACCGCAAGCCGCATGATTGGTCAAAGAATATAAAGCCATACGTCTATAAATAGCGGTGTGATCACCAGAATATATCTCTTGGCTTCCGTATCTTGCCTTCTGCTGTTACAAAATAACTTTACGGGACTGTTTTACCTTACGCTTCTTCATGATTCAGACGTTTGATCATTGATTAGATGGGTCGAGTGCAGAAGTGGGACATCCTGTTCACTATAGTTTGTACACAGATGTGTCCACTTCATCAAACATCAGCTAATGGAGATATAAGTAAGGGTGGATTATGATTCACACGCTTCGGTGCGCATTGATGTCGCGATTGACTCAGATGAATATTCATTTCCTCTACAAAATTTGACGGCGGCACTTCCGATTCACTCTGACAGAGTTACACCTGGTAATGTTTTAATGCTTCCGCTGATATTGTCAATAGTTTTCCTTACATTTGGCTGCTGATATTAGCAGCTATGTCACTTTCAATCTTTATATTTCGTCATCTCTTCGTATCTGTATGGGGTATAGTCACCTGTCAGAGTGAAATTAACATTTATGAAACCTACTAGAAATTAATTTGTAACGGGAACTAAAGGTGCCAGCGTTACGTACCACAGCTTCCATCAAAGGCTTAAATCCATAAAAAATACTTTGCATGATTAGGGAATGGTGATATTATCTATTAAGATGAGACCTTAGGTAACAAACAGTCTAGTTTCTAGATACTAAACTACTTTCCTCCTGGCTATTATTAGTTCCATTTGGGCCCTTCCTTTAGGTTATATAACACAAAATTTGTTACTTAAAATCCCTCTTTCAGTGCGTAACTTGTGTGATAACCCATATCCCTTGTAGTTGGGAGCAGTACATCTGTTAGTGACAGTGACCACTTCCTTGTAAGACCCACGTGTGCAACAAATCATTTAAGTTATTATTAGAATCTATTATGGGTGAGCAACTCGTTTAATACACAGATTTGGTTTTTTGAAGTGACCAAAACCTACTGTGTGACACTATTCTCGGCTATGCACGTTGATAGCTGATTGCACTTAAGCATATGACTTCTCACGTGGTTGCATGGAACACGAACGATTTCATTTAGAGGAACACGATCTCACTGCCCTGTTGCCCCCAAAAAGAGATTTGAATCTCTCAGAAAGAATGAGAGGGAGGGTAACTAAAGCTGTCACTGGACTGAAATACAGAAAGTAAGTTGACCGACTATTGCAGCAGAGTCAGGGCCAACCTTATCTCAGCATATGCAATAGTGCGTTTTCCAACACGCCTACGTCGAGAGGTATCGGCAGTGTGTTATCCGTCTAGGTTACCCCAATAAATGTGCTCAACCGGAAGCAACAACAAAAGTGCAGTCTAACTTCTCCTCTTCAAGAGTTTTTCACTTATTTATGTTATTGCCTGAAAACAGAGCAGAGATTGCTTAAATTAACAGCTCCAAGTGATGGCTAGTTTATCAAAGAGAATCGGTAGGATAGTGCGAAACCATAAGGGAAGCAAATAAGTTATTATGGCTAAACTTGGAATTATGTTACTTTAATTTGTATTTCCTTCCTCATCGGCTTCATAGTTTTCTCTTCTTTATATTGTAAGTGCAATACATACCACCATCTTATGTATCTTACACCTGTAGCGCATGTTTATTCCCCCCAGTTTCTTAGCCACAGAATTTACCACTGAACGTCGAATGCTAACCCTCACTGGTTAAGTCGACTTGTTCAGCTGAAGGCTCATGGCCAAGCATCCACGATATTCGGCACGCCGTCGTGTTGTGCTCGTTCTTTCGGTCGTGCACGGTTCGTAGCTAGTTGAGTAATCAACCTTACACTACGATTCGTTCCAGAAATATAATTCGTAATTTCGATGATTTATTTCGGTGTTTTGCTTTGCCTTTGGTCTACTTGGAACGAATAATGTAGAAGTTGTGGGTATGAGATCTTGATTTAGTATATATTTTACCATCCCTTTAACGTCAACACCTCAGCATCTAAACACCAATTCCTCTTGTCCAACTTTCACTTTGTTTTGTCTACCTATTCGCTCACCTCCGATTCCATTTACTTATGACCTTTTGCTATTAAGGAAACCAAAGAGCCACTCGTAGAAACAAAATGTGAAAGGTTTGGCAGAGCTATTGACCTGGTCCAGATCGTACTCTCCTTCCAAAACGAACGGAAGTAACTCCTCTTACTGCTTTCAGCACAGTAGCAGAACTCTAACAGAGAAAAAGCTTTTGGATTCACGAAAGATCTAGAGTCTTTCTGAGGGGATTAGAAGCGAAAACCAAGAATTCACAATGATTCACCCAGAAAGACATTGGACCTTGAGATTAGTGTCGGCGGTGATTTCCTATTTTTACGGTACATCTGTTTGGTATCTTTTTGGGGCTCTTAAAAATGGGGAAAGGATATAATAATTATATGTGTAAGAAGTTTTTCCACCCAACCAATTTCGAAAACATAAAAAGAAAATGGATGGCTGAACAGGAACATGAGTATGACACAAAGAGAGAACTTGAGAAACTTAATCAATACCGTCGAGAACAGGAAACTCTTGAAAATCGTGTTCTCTTGGGGGACGAAAAAGCCAGATTGGGATTAGCATGGATGTATGATCAACCGGCTTTAGTGGAAAAGGTAAGTGTCGTAACATATCTTGCTAACATATTGAATAGGAGCAGCCTGAAGAAAAGGAGGTTAAATTTGAATGGCAAAGAAAGTATAATGCTCCGAGAGAAAGTTACTGCAAAAATTCAAACGAGATCATAGATCAGCCTTTCGCAATTGAAGTTCGCAATGTCCGTTGCATGAGATGCAAGCAATGGGGACATTTAAACACCGATCGTGTTTGTCCACTTTTTGGAAAGTCTTTTACCCAGGAGCCGACGACAAGTGACATGGTTGCACTCGACCAAGTTCAGAAAAGTCTTCAAAAGGAAGGCTTATCTTTAAAAAGAGGCACTGACCTGGACCGATTCACGTCTATATTTAGTAAGGCGAAAAAGGCCTTGACTGATGTCTCAAAGCGTACTTCAGAGGAAGAGGATTCTTTGGCGATGGAGTTTTTAAAAAATCTTACTGAAAAGCAACGTGAAAAATTGTTGAAAAAGCTTTCAAAGCTATCAGATAAGTCTTCTAAACACAAGGAACACAAGTCGAAACACAAGCATTCTAAAAGACAGTGATTTTTGAACTATACAGATGCTTAATTTTGGTTTTGCTGTCATGTATATACATTATTTCTGTTCATTTAATTTAATTGAATGACTTTAATTATGTTGAATATTAACTTGTCATTTTTCATACCTGTCAATTATATGGTTTCTTTTTTGTCGCAAGTGAATGGGATGTAGCGAAAACAGGTAGTAAATGCGAATGTCAGTGCTTGGCTTATATCATTGGTTATCAATTCTGAAATCATTCGTGGGTTCTAAATGCAATTCTAGCACGCTAACTGGTGAGATAGTACTTAAGGATGCAGTGTTCGAATGTGAACATAAACGGTTTGTTATGTCTGTTTTTCAGCTTGATCACGACATATGCAGTGTTAATTATCGCTCTCTTAAGTAGTATTCGAACTAAGTATTATTATGACACTGTTTTCTAAGGTGTCACTGAGTAAAGGAGAGGTTACTTCTCGCCGCAATTGAATCACATGTTTTGTTTTAGCAACAGGGCTATACATTTCGGTAGTACTAGAGAAATAATGCATCATACGTGAACTCTTGGGTAACGATCAGTTTTGTAGGCGTCAATTTATAGTAGAAACGTTGATGGTAATCTTTAGCATGTGAAGGTAACAAGAAACATCAAGTAAATTCAGGGTAATATTTTGTCGAACTCTAGGAATCTACTTGCTGGTATTACTCAAGGAAGACCGGAGATTGGTTGAGTCAATATTCTGTTATAAAATTATTGGTATAATACATAATCAATCACACTTAGTATTTCACAACTTCACCCCTCAAAATGTCCCACTTGGTTTCCAAATATTAGTAAAAAGTGCATCAGTCATCCTATGTAGGACCTGTCCATTATTTTAAGAAGTGTTAGCCATTTTAATAAGATAAGGTGTGCTGAAGTACTCAATATTATATTTCCCATTTTGTTTATCATTGATTGGGATATGATTAAGAATTATTATTTCCCCTCGGCATCACATATAATGTCTCCTCTTTAGGTAAGTGTCGTGACAAGTAAATTTCTAAAACATGTTGGAAACTCCTGCAAGTCATCAAACGGCTTATCCCTATGATTCTGCCTTGTTTATTGAAAGTGTTTCGTTCCAAATGTGAATTCTCACAGAGATGAAAATTTGCAGTGTCTTTGTTAATTTTTTCTAAAGTCCAACCAATAGTCCTCTAAGAACTGCACAAATTTTTATTCTGGGTGTACTTGGATAAACAGTGAAGATTGATGTACATTTGTAAAACAACTAGTTTAGCGGAGAGAATTTTCAGTGATTTCATTCACTTAGTCGCATAGTTAGAATTATATATAATTATTTTTGTGTTGAAAAGAATATTCTGTGCCTGTGCACTAGATTTGGTATTCTCCTGTTCTCTAATGTTTTCTAATAACTTGAGAGATGAATTATCGTATTCGACCGTTTCTATGTATCTCCTGAATTACTTGTTCCTGTGGAGCCAGATATATCCGTCGTTCAATACGCGTTGCTTCTGAGTCAAGGAACATTATCCCGGAAGGCTGCAAAGAGATCACAATGATTCAGTGCGAAGTGCTGCAACTGAGCATATTCTGCATTCAACTTCTAAAGGAGAATTCAAATTTCTCTACAAGGTCAAGAGAAGCCCCCCTGAAACGTCATTTTCCTGAGTTGTCTGCAATACTAAGGTCTTTGCCATTCATATGGAAAACTCTGATTTATGCACACAGAAAAAACATGTCCTCCTGCTTCTTAAACTCAGTTGTTATCAACATTTCTCGGTCGCTAGTATTTTTGATATTACAATTATTAGCATTATTTTTTTTAGGTACCCTTTTGTTTGCGTTATTCATTTGTTACAGATTATATCATATTGTGATAATTGTCTCAATTTTCTGAACAGTTTTCCATCACAATACGCAACCTACAGTGTAAACTTACCAATCTTTGTAACCGTAGCTACATTTTAACTAACCTTTGTTCTGAATATTTAGATTGTGTCAGTGATATTCCAAACTGAATTGTCTTTGCTATGCTTTCCAAACTGAATGCATACGCACGCAAATGATTATGTACAATTGTGATTGTACAGCTAAGTGAACGGAATCGCCCAAAAGAGTCTCTTCGTTAAACTATGTGTTTTTACTTCCATGTTTAATTGAATATTTTTTGCGTATTGTTTAACACCTAACTGTCGCCTGTTTGGTTTCTATCCCAAAGGTTTTGTGAAGTTTCTTACTAGGGTTATTAAAGAAAAGATATTTCAGTGGTTTTAGTATTTAGAGTTGTTTAACACTCCGTTTAGTTGACCTGATTTTCATTATTTTCATGAACTAGTCTTTGAAGCTAGACTAATACAACATCTTCGCTTATAACAAACGGTATAAATTATTCATAACAGTTGATTAGACAGGATAAAACTTTGAAATCATTTTTTATATTCCCAATATAATGATGATTTATAAGTATTTCATTGGATTGCCATCATTAGGTTCAGAAACTGTCTTTTGTTCATTTATTGTTGCGCTTACGCATTATCATTGAAATCATAACCGAGTATAAATATGGGACATAGTATTACTACATAATGATCTAAGTTGTCGTAATTCATCTACTTATCAAAGAAAAAACTTAATTATTTACTAAAAGGCAAACTTGGTAGGTATGGCCCCCAAGAGATGCGGTACACAAAAGCAACAAAACAGTGCAAGGTAAGGAAATAGAATATTTCCAGTTGTTGACATGGGACACTTCGTCTTAAACAGGGACAAGGCATCTGTTTAGTACTTCTTGGTTTTTAATGGTTGTCTAACGGATGTCATTTTGTGATGAGAACTGGAACTTTAGTATCAGTATGCAGAACTATTAATATACTCCGGTTCATTACCTTACTGATGGAAGTCATCAATATTACACAGTGAAATACACAAAGTGTCGAATGGATGGTATCAATAGGCTTGTTGGTATTTATAACAAATTACAGATTATTCTAGAGTCAGAGTATGAAGGTGGACACGAAGTGGAGGTATAAAACTAACAGGAAGTTTACAGAACTTAAATTATTTGAAGTGATTAAACAAAATAGAAGTTGAACAATAAGGTATAAAAATAATATGAAATGAAAATGTCATACTAAATCTAATTAAAGCAACAAGTAAAATTTTCATTCGATCAAAAATATTGTCCTAGTGTGGTGCATTAGTAAGTACTTATATTTTATTAATAGAGCAAGCAACTAAGTAAATTCTCTACTAGGTCAAAAATGTACATGTTTCTTTGAAGTTCGTGAATTCCATTTATTGGTCGTGCGATAGGTTCTTAAAAGTAAGTTAGGTAGGTTGGTTCTTGAGGATGTTTATCATTAATGATAAATAATACCACTTTAGTGCGATCATAATTGTTTCGTATACACAGTATGACCATGAAACCACTGGCTGATATTAAAATATATATCCTAAGAGTTATGTTCATTTAATTTTTATTGAGATCTATCACCATGCGTTTTGGTCAACTCTATCAAACCCATCCATTACGGTAATCAACACACTGAAGACTTTCCATTCTAGCAGGTGGGGAATTGAATTATGTTCGATAACCCAACATAGTTATAACTATTGAAATTTTTCAAAGCTAAGCGCATTTTACCTTCAATATTTAACAAAGAAAATTCCAATTACAGAGTGTCATATATTCTTTTTTATGAATGAAGAGAAAAAAAAGGAAATTGTTAGAAAAATAGGCCTTTTGTTAAGTAATACTGGAAAATACACTTATCGATTATGCTATATTTAGGAGTGATAAACTGATTCATAAGAAAAATTAATGTTTACGATGTGTAGCAATCATATGGGTGAAATCCCAAACAAACTGAATTTTAATGCAGAATTTCACACAAAAGTTTGACAGTTCACCTTGCTATACTTCACAGAACACACATAAAAGTAGGGAACAAATAAATGTGAATAAACCATAATAAACGGGGACGCACAAGATGAAGAATAAGCCTTACAGATTTATGATTATATCCTTTAGCGTTCCCAGTGGAACATATAGTTTTAAGATTGGGCTTTGAAGTTTCAGTAGCAGTGGTGTTTATTTTCTACAGGTTAGGGTTACTAGCCTCACGCCCAACCTCACTTCTCTACCGGGCTTACTACCTGCTAAGTATGGCTAGGGAGTGCGTCGATCGGGGCATCAGACCCCTAACCACGTGAGTAGTGGGCAAGTATTCTAACACTGAATCACTGACGCATAAAGGGAGATGCCAATTTAATGGATCTAAGAGTTCTTTGAGAGTGAATGTGTCTGCGTCATTGCGAACGATTTTGAGGTTTGTCGCTAAAAATCCCCAGTCATTAGTTCTTAGTGTCTGGAGGAGCCCCCACCCAGGCAATCAGTATTTGTTTGTGTAGCCGTCAGTCAAAGAATACATGAATTAGCTCCATGTTTCGATTTGATCACCTGTAACTCATTTCCAATCTAATTTTAATATGAGGTGATATAGCTCAAAGAGAAAGGCGATGACTTGGTATGTGTAAAACTTGTTGGAAACGTCTTAATCGATGTGTCTTCAAATCCCGATCAACTTACTTTCTCTCCTTATCTAACACCGAACGCCTAATATTACTGGCCGTATGGAACCACATTAGGTATATTTTCAAATTTTGACGTTTTTTTGTGTGTTAAGTATTTTAATTCATCTGAAGTGGGATAAGTCGCTTCTGATCTTTTCTCTCATCTCCATAGTCGGGATCAATAATAATTTGTTAAGTGGGAATTTAGATTATAAATTGGTTAATCACTTAATGTCCTTTCGGAATTATCCTATTCATGATGTCAAAATGATGACAACATCTGGATAAATTTCAGTGTCGGATATCCAGGTTAGCTATCATTCAGTGAATGGAACGCCTCTGTGCGGATTCCCGCAATGATCTCATTTGTCACTCAGTGACTGATTAGTATACATAACCTACGTTTTTAGAAGACCGGTTTAAATCAGTATAAATCTTTTTAGTAACCTGAATTTTTCTTAAGGTTTTCATCCTCCTAGATGAATATGTCGGTTGTTTAATGGTACATTGTTCGCCAACCACTCATGTTGTCTGGAATTTGATTCCCGGACAATGCAACCCTAAACCTGGCTTGGTTGGTGACAAACCTGATAAAGAAGTTTAGGAGTGACTCTAGCAACCTCACCCAAGCTGAAAGCTTGAAGCCCTATGTCCTACCTGGAACGCAAAGGAAAAAAAGGAAAGACGAGTACTAACTACCCTATGACTTAGCTCTATAGCTTCCTCCTAACTAATTCGGAAAATTTAACATATTTGTATTAGATTAACAAATTCCGAAAAAAAATTGTCTCCATTTCGATGATTTTTTTGAAATGAACAATTAACGACTCAAAAATTCCATTTGTTTATGAGTCAGATAGATATACATATGCAAAAATGTACAGTTAAAATTAGTTAAACAAGTGAAATTATTCACTGTCATTAAAATTTGTTCAAATTTCAATTTTCAATATGAAGTTGCATTATGTTATCAGTTTTCAGTTATATTTTTATAGAGTTAACTGTTAACATGAATTAGGAAATTTAGTTTACTGTCGTTAGTCAATAATAAACAACTAATGTTTGGAACTACAGTTCATATTTACAATCAGTTTATTTCTTTCTGCTCGCTAACAGTGTACAGATTATGTTTACCTATCAAATTTGACGCGTAATATATTCAGGCAAATATTTACCATTTACTTGACATAATTGATCATGGATTATTTCACTACGCAAGGTATGAAGATGACAATGTGAAGGTATTATTGTGATACACTCATCAAATAAATCCCCTTGTCTGTGTCTTTTTTTTATATGAATGAAGCTTAATTAGACAGCGGCTGAATTCTTCTACGTAGATTTTATCTGAAAGGGTTGAATTCCTACAAACTTTTGTCGAATTCTAGAGACTTTTGAATTTCATTTTCATGCCATCATACAATCAATTTTATGCACAAAGATATTTTTAAAAATTTGAAGAATGTACAGTGATGACTTTGAATTCAAGCCCTTTTTAACCCACATATTATTATTTGGACTGACATGAATCATATATGTAAGCAATCCGTTGAATTGTACTTTACGCTATTATAATCATGATTATGATAAGTATATAATACATAGATATTTACTCTGGGAGTATTTGTTTCCCAACCTTATGACTGATCTCTTGCTCTTTACAAACGATCGTTAATTGCTTTAGTACACATTATTTCTGTTTTCACTGGTTATATTTAATTGGCTTGTATTAATATAATCACTGTCATTTGTTTTACGGGGATGATTTTCTCTTACTAGAAGCAGTGGACATATGATCATCTTTCAATGATGTACACTCAGGGATTTTGAACACATTTCAACTCTAGAATTTCTATTATTATTATTATCATCATCATCATCAGCAGCAGCAGCATTATCTAAAGAAAGACTGTTTTTGACTTGTTACTTGTTTTTACAAGGATTACGTAAATCACTTTTACATGCAGTAGTTGTATTTCTGTTATTCATCGGATTTACAATTTGCGACTTACATTCATGAATATCGGTTTGATTGTTATTGTTTAACTTTGCTTTCAGTCTATTTGTTGAATTCTTTCTAAAGCTATTCTGGTTTTGTTTATTCAATAATTTACAATTTTTCTTTGGTGAATATTGTCCAGAATTCTTCTCTTGATTGATCATTGTTGTTACTTTACCTAATTTAGACACGTCTAATGCTTGATTTCGTTTACACGCAACTGGTATACCGGGTGAATTAGTTGAACAGGGTAATATACTGAAAGAATTATTGTTATATCGGTGTACTGGCTTTTCAAATGAAGTAACTTGATGTAGTTTTGTAGTTTTATTCATATGAGTCAATGATTTATTATTACTGTTTATTAAACGATTATTACTTTTAACATGTATTTTATTATCCTGCATGCTTAGATTATTACTACTTATTGTTGAGGTATGTATTAATTCTGAAGAAGTGCGTACATCTTGACTACTTATATAAGCTAGACGATAGTAATGTTGCAATGCTTTCTGTTCATTTCTATTCTCATCAGTATTATTTTGTTGCATATAAGTAAGCGTAGGCGGTGATGAAGTCGGTGAATTACTAGAAATGATATCTTTATTGATAAGTATTTCAGTTTGACTGTCAATATCATGATAATCGTATCCATGACTTGAACATTCACCTGTTTTATTATTGTTTAACGATATGACACCAAGAATTTGTGTATTATTATTATTATTTGATGTCACTGAAGTACAACTTTCTTCATGATGCTTTTTATTATTTTCTGAAACATTATTCGATTGATTTGATATATTTGAATTATTTTCTGTTATTATTGTATACTCTTCCGATGATAGATTAGTTTTACTGCCTTTGTTATGCTTCATTGTATCATTGACAACTTTTTCAATATCTTTACTTACTGTTGGCAAATATTTAAAACTTGTACCAATACTTTGTCCTGTACAAATCTCTGTATGATCATCTCCAGTATCTGAATCAATCCAGTCAGTTTCACCGTCAGCATTATTAATAATTGTTATAGTCGGAGAATGCTTATTAGTGTTATCATTATCATTATTATCAATCTTTAAATCGTTATATTTACTATCAGTTAAACGATTATTACAATTATAAATTGATTTACTAGACTCTACAGCTCTTGTTAATGTATCTAATACTATTTTATGATCAGTTAAACAATGACAGATATTATCCACTTGATCGGAAATATCAGTTAAACGTTTACGAATTGTATAAAATTCTCTTTGTACTTCATGAACACCTTGATCATGTTGATTATATAATCCTGTTATTTGTCGATTTAGTCTTCTTAGCATATGATTATAAGTTAATGCATAATGTGCTAATATACTACGACATCTTAATTTTTGTCGTATTGATGTCTGTTTGCATTGTTTAGCCTTTCTTAAATCTTTATTATCCATAGAGTTTACTTCATCAGAACACTTTGGGTTATTCATTTTATCTGAATAATTTGTCTGTGTTTGATTAGTATCATGATGAGAGAAAAGATTAGTTGAGTCTTCTTTTTTCTCATTAAGAATATTCGATTTTATATGCATAGGTAGTGGATGCCTACGAAGGCATGTAAGAAGTTTATGAATTTTTTTACGATATGCAGGAGTATATGAACTTGACTCTTCTGAATTCGATTTATTTATACCGCCTTCATGTTTTATATTTTGTTTTTTTATACTATGCTTTTTGTTAATTGATTTCGATAAAATTTCATCAAATTCATAAGAAATACTTTTGTTTGATAGATTACATTCATCTTTATCAAAGGAGGTGAGATCATTCTTTATTTTCTGAAAAATAGTCGATGAAGAAGACTTTTTCTCTTCATGAGTACTAACACACTTATCATGCATACTTGTTCTCTCTTTTGTATGCTCACCAGTAGTTTGTTTGAAGAAATTAGTATCTAGTGATGTACAACTATTAATATCACTACCTTGTCTCCATTCTGATAAAGAATAAGTTTGTACTTCTTTATGCAGTTGACTAATTTTAAAACTACCTTGTCTAGATAACTGACTACACTGACATTCATCTTTTACTAATGGTGTTGATTGACTACGTAAATTTGTATTAGAATACGATGGATGATTTTGTTGTTGATTGCGATGGTGGTATGGCAATGAAGTAGTTTTGTTTCTCATATCTGGTTGAATTGGACTGGCTATGTATTCACCTTTTCCTGAAACTGTAAATCCATTACATTCATATCCTTCAAATTGTGGATCACTTCTTTCAATAGGCTGATTTTTTAATTCACTACTAAACACTTCAACATGATCACCAGTTTTTAAAGATTTTGTCAAAGGAATATCACATGGAATTTTTATTTGACTTGGTGACCTTGCATATGCGCCTATATCAAGTATATTTTGGATAGGAATTTTACTCTTATTTGCTTCTTTCATATTTGGATTAATCTGATTTCTTAAAGGCTGTTTAGAGGTTTCTTTACGAGTATCCGTTGAGAAACTTCTGTATAATTTAGAATTAGTTCGTAAGCTTGTAGAAGGAATTCTTTTAGGATACTGTTTGTTCGTTGCAATATCTGACTGGTGTCTAGGTGTGTTATTTTTTTTGAAAGCTTGAATCCTTAATTCTGATGCTTTGTTTGTAGGTCGTCCTACTGAACTACACTTGACAGATGATTTCACTTTGTCAGTATCATACTTTGGTAAAGAAGAGTATGTTTTATTCACATAAGAGCTTCTTACATTTCGACTGTTTTCTAAAAGTCCCTTTTTGTTATATGATCGTTCATAGTTCATCGTATTCAGTTTAAACTACAGTTTTACATTTGTCCATACTTAAATGTACATATAGACTGTCATGAGGTTCCAAGAGAAGTTATATGTGCATATATATATGTATTTATCTTCTACATGTAAGCAAATAAATAAGTGAATTTATCCGTTTTAGAGTGGATTACATTTTAATCGAACTAAAAATGTGAGTAAATGTAGGATGTCGACTATTCAAATGAAAATCGATAAACCATAATGAAGTTATAAGATTATGCTTAGGATTCATACAATCAGATGACCAAAATGAAGGTTAAAAAAGCAAAAGAACATGCTGAGTGGGGGGGGGGGATTAAATCAAAGCATAAATTTCAATAAAAGTTATCAGTTGAATATCGTATATTAGAGAAAAAGATACAGTCTTACTGTAAGCTGTGACGATACACAAGGCATAACAGTAACTGACGAGTTAAATGGATAGAGAGAAAGTGTATTTAGACACATTGAAAAAAAGTAGCAGTATTAAGCAATATTTGAACCCTACATGTGGAATACCCTTCAATAGAGCGAAATGAACAAGAAATTCCAATCCAGAACTATGTGCGATAAAGCAACTACCTCTAAAATGTCAGTATATGTCATTTAGAAACAGCGAATTGCAGAATTTCGTCAAATCCGTGAAGTGAACTTACTACACCACAAAACTTTGTATCATCAAGCAGTTGGTGAAATAATCAAAGTGAAACAGGAAGCTACGCCTCAGTATGTGTGTATGAATTAATTTATGTGTTTGCAAAAAAGCAAAATGCAGGTGAAGTAACTATCAACTAATAATTATTGGTAATTACCAACACAACTAGTCATTATTTGTACTCCGCAATCAACTGCAGCACCGACCATAAATCCAGCGATTATAACTAACCAATTTTGGGATTCAATGAAACTACTGGATTATCAAAGTAGTAGTAGTAGTGTAACTACTAGTTCTATATTGATTTTTGAAACTTTTAAATGAAGTCATATTCAAAAGTATGCCCCTTAATGCAACAGAAAAATCCTGATTAGGACTCTGGAAGGGTTTTACTATGAGTGTTATCGATACACAACTTAAAGAAGTTCTTCGAATGATTTCTCTTTGTCAACTTCGCAGTACATATCTGCCTGTAGAACCTGTGACAGATCTCACTGTGTTAGCTTAACCGATATTTCTCTACTTTTACGCTGCAAAGTTCAGTTATCACAGGAATTATTAGCAGAAAAAAACACGTCTTCGACTTTCATGTCTACGGTTCCACGAATCTAACTAAAGGTCATCTGCAGCAATTTGAAGACATAAAGCTGAATATCACAGCTTACCTGTCAGAACCCACATCTGGAAAAATAATCAATTCAAGTGTCACCAGGGATTGACATCAGTCAGATAACCATTGAAGACCTAGCAGTACTGGACAGCTGTTTCAGCCTAGTTTGGGACTCTTCAACGGTACACACCCATGACCAAATCGACGACCGAACTTAGGGCTTTAGGGTTACGAGTTGAGCTCATTGACTATTGAACTATTAGAATGGAATCCAACGGCACATAGATTCTACCTCCTGTCAATTCGCAATTTATAGCGTCAATGCCGGCTAATGTCTTTGGCAAGTATTTTTCCTCACAGCCGACCTGGTAGATGTTACTGGTCACGACTTCTCAAAAGAACTCCAAGCAACTTTGTTCTGTAGTCACCGCAAATCGCCTACCGACGGAATTTAGAATTCGTGGGTTATCGGATTCCATACCAGTGGCTGAATGTTAAATAGGTTCGCCATGTGTCCCGAAGATACTGTGTTTGATCCTCGTAGAGTGATGGATGTGTACTGATGAAGAGTTACAAACTAGAAGGATATGGCTGTCCAGTATTTTCGAGTTTTCAAACTGGTGTAAATCCGTAGTCTAACTTAAAAGGCAATCAAATCCCTGCAAACCAACACTTCAGACCAATAGTCATTGATATACCACTTGAATTCGGAAAGACGCTATAGTCAGTTTCAAGGTCATGATGGGTTCCTGCGTCTGCTGGTTATATGTTTTCGTGAATTCGTTTTCCATTGAATTTTAAAGGTTTTTTCGAACGTTTTGCTTGTTTTGGAGTATGTAGGTCAGTTTTTTGTCACTGGATGCTACTAAGACGTTTATTTTTAGCTTGCAGTTCCCAGTTTTTATGTTGGTAGTTAAGGATTATGGTAAATCTGCAATCATTGAGCCAATTCACGCATACTATGCTAATATAGTAACTTTTCTCAGTAATTAAACGTCTTAACTGTTCTGCCATTGTTGGATCAAACAGTGGCAGAACAATTACGGATTATTTGCTTAAGGTAGAACTGTGCGCTGGTTTATCATCACGACTGGCACCAATTCAGCACCTTGTTCTTATTCTACGCATTATCAGAAGTAGCTTATCAGCCTTATTGCAGCCCTTCTAGTCCAGGTTCTGCTCCTCGCAAGCTTACCATAATGCTGAATTAAATCTCACTAATTCCAACGTTCTACAGTCAGTAAATTCTGGATCTTTTCTTAAATAGACGCTTTAATTTCACAGTCTAGAACTCAGGTTTGGTTTTCAGCATGACTGACACTAATTCAACACCATGTTCTTTTTGTAGACATTTTCAGGAGTAGATGAGAAACTACTGGTTTTGCTTATCAGTACATGCTGGGTTCACTTGAAGTAGATAAAATATTCATTTACCGTAAAAAGGTATTATTGACGCGTTGGTTAGACTTTGCTGAGAATTGTTGCAAGGTTGGTATTTTAAGCGTCCCAAGCTTACTATACTATACCTCCAAAAGTGCATTCAAAGCTCACAAACTTATATTCCATAGGGCCAGATGGGTCTTTTTTACCTGAATCAAGCCGTTAGGATGTGTTGGATTCCTTTCAAAGAAATAATGAACAATTTAGTTGTTACCTTCATAAATGTATCAAAAGCTTGCTTAAGTTGCACCCACGTATAAAATACACAACTAAGCATTATTCTTTGGAATGTAGCCATTACATCAGACAATATAGATGACACATTTCGTGTAGTAGACGCAGTAGGAGTAATTTGCAACATCATTTAATGGTTCTAACAATTCCTAACGTGCACAACAAAATGATTTCAAGTAAATGAACAGTTGTATGTATTTCATTGCTTATATACCACTTTTGTGACATAAGAAATTTACTTTATTTATGTTGACCTAGTATGTGCAATTCCCACAGGTCACTAAACTGAAAACTTAAAAAAGTAGATCACTTAATACATACATATATCTACATGTCCAAAATTAAAGACACATTATACGTTTAGCAATTTTTGTTGAATTCTATTCCCATAGTAACAAAAAATGCATACATCCTATTTTGGACTTAAAATAAATGCATCAAAATTATTGTTAACTTATATTCACTTACTAAACATTCTCATACATCTCAGTGTACTTTCAACACCACCAATGCATCCAAATAGCGTGTGACTATCACACTACACTCACACCAAAAAAATTAACACGCCGTTATATTATGGTAAGTTAAGACTGACTTTAAACTGACTGTAACTTTCCGTGTCAAAATAAACAGACTGCCACTTTAACTTCTATTTTAGACCAATAAGAAGCCAGCTAGCCAACAGCCAATCAAAATCTGCCTATATCGCTTTTCTTGAATTCGCCATCACATTACAACCAAAACAGCTACATTTCATTCGGCTACCTTCTAGGCGGTCATATACAAAAGTGACATTTTTGGAGTGGGTATTAAGACCTTGAACATGCATAATGCTGTGTTTATTGTGGTCGACATGCCTGTTGCACTACATAAACTGATGAAAGCATGCTGACTGAACCTCAACTTTCACTTAACAAATAACATAAACTAAAAATGAACTGTCAACCACAGGAAAGTGTGAAGTTATTGATTGTTTACGTAAGGTGGCATGAAAAAATTGGCTAAATACACTTCCTGCTTCCTCTAAAATCCCGCTTATATAGGAGATTTCAACAATCTCCGCTGATTCCCTTTGACTAATGGTGAGTATACGGAAACTTTCACAAATTTTATTACTAACTGATATTAATACTTGACCCTTATTGGCGTCTCCACGACTTTTTATTACACTATTGAACTGTACGGCTATGAAGAGAGATTACGAAAAAAATTTTTTGCTGACCTGTCTCTTTAATTAATCTCTTAAATTGGTTATAACAAATCACATCAATGAATATTACTGTTTTCTTTGGGTAACTACAGAATTATTCACTTTACAGTTAGCGAAACACATTACAATCAACACACATTAAAGGACAATGATCTTCGTTTCTTGAAGAATTCTTTTGGCATAACTATTATCAACTTTCTCTCCATTGAAAACAACCTTAAAGATAACGTATACGAGTTGATAGCTGTGGTCAGGAACAGCAACGAAGAAAATACAAGAGATTCTACAATTTATTGTACTTTTACATTCGTGGCAGGTTTCGTTTTCATACTAAATAGACTTGAAGATGGATAAAGGTGTAAGACATTCAACCTACAGTTATGCATTTAGAACATATCTCTTTTATGAGAACTAGAAGCTACATGTTCGAACGGGATAATTTATTTATGAATGATTTCGATATTTCAGGAGACTAAGAACCAATGGCTGGAAACTATTAGGAAGGTGGCTCAAAATCGTTCTCAATGGCGAAGATGTATTCAGCTTTGTGATCTCTCATACCTAATAAATCTTAAATGTTTTTCCATGTTAATATTCTTTCTCCCTTACATTTCTGCCTGTTATAATAATTTTGAGTCGTTTTTTCGTCTATCTTCGTGTGCTACATGGAATTTGGCAACTTGAACTGCTGCACTTCCTTGCTAAGTTCTATGTTGAAACTCAGTTGTGCTGGATAATTGATTTATAGCTTAAGAATAAATTGAAAAAAAATTTATATTTTCTCAGAAAACCAAAGTAGAGAAAACGGAGTGACTTATTACCCTAAGTTTAACTGTATGGCC